ATAATGGATGGAAACTGACCAAGGAGATATTCTACCTAGAAATAAGGAGGAACTTTCTGACAGTTAGAACAATCAACTGATGGAACAGCTTGCCCTTGGAAGTTGTGGGAGTTTCATCACTTGAGACTTTTAAGAAGAGACTGGACTGCCATTTGTCAGAAATGGTGTAGGGTCTCCTGCTTTAGTAGTACTAGATGACCTGTAATGTCCCTTCCAAATCTGTTAATCTGTTAATCTATTAAAGTAGATAGGATGTAGGGAGGAATATTTTTCCTCCTGAATTGAGGAGCAGGAAATGATCAAGATATTCTTACATAATTTATCTAAGTAATAGATGAAACCAATCAATCTTGTAACTTCTAAATACCACAGGAATTGAAAAGTAGCATTCCCCAAGTAGAATCACAAGGTATCATTTCTAAGGTAAGCAAAGAAATTGTAAGTCTTTTTATAAAGATAGTTTTGACTGGCTTAGTGATTGATCAAAGACATGATCTATGGCCTATCAGTCTACTATAGGAAGCAGAATACTGACTATGTCCTTCAAATATTTGTATTTCACCGCACTCTTCGTCCCAACATGGTCTCAAGAGCCCCCTTCCTCCAGAGCCTACCTAGGGATTTCCAGTGCCCATCCCATAGCTATCCCTATCTTGCCACTAGGCATCCAAGTCCCTTCCTGGTCCTTTCTTCCTCAACTCCACAGCTAAGCAATTTCAAATTTTACCGGAAGAGCAAGGATATGCTGCTCCATCTTGTGAACAGCTATGACTATCCATGGCCATGTAGTGACACAGCTATTCTGAAACAGCTACAACTTTGGCAAATTTCATTTCCCAATGGAGTAATGATTCCTGGATTTTGGACCCATTCTTTGAGTAAATTTGGTCAGTTAAGTCAGTGTAATGGCTTGGATCTATATGAATTTCACAAATACTGTGATTTTAAAAAGCTTAGAGAAGCATAATGTCTGTCACATAATGATCAAATAGTTGACATTATAATAAGAGCTTCCCTGGATGGATCCATTGTAAGAAAAACAACTTAATAGTCAAAATGCAACCTATATTTTAAATTCCAAATGTAAAATTTCAATACTTTCAGCAGGATCCCTGGATGGATCCATTGTAAGAAAAACAGCCTAATATTCAAAATGCAATCTATATTTTAAATTCCAAATGCAAATTTCAATACTTTCAGCAGGGAATGCTACTTTAGCTGGCCAAACCAGTTCACAAATAATTCCTGTTGTCTGGAAGTTGCTTTCTGTTCTTTACACTATACACATTTCCGTGTTTAGGATACTGCATTTCTTTTAAGGAAAAGCACCTCCTTCGTATTTACAGCTATAATTTTTGATGGGATTGGGCATTCCATTTTTTATAAAACTCAGAAGAGTTACTGATGATCACATGTTTGCTACATTATACAAGCAACAACTTGTAATTGATTGTAATCAAGAGTCATTTGCTTCAACAGATTCTATTGAAATCTGCATTTTTTAAAAAAGTTACTTGTTTGCAAAGAAAGCAGTATCAGTAAGCGAGAGGATGACTATGTGCTGTGATAGGTTGTTGAATAGAATATATTTCAATCTCATTGCAAAGACTAGCTGAAAGGTATCCAGGTAGAACTGGGGCAAATAGACTGTAATTTCCCAAGGAATCCAAAAGAGTAGTTCGGAGATGCATGGCCATGCAAAAGATTTCAAAGAGAAGGCATAAGAAAAATGTCTCTTTTCAAAGCAACTGAGGCAGTGTGACCTCAGAAAGTTTTGAGACTGCTGATTAAATAATGAGATTTCCGTCTATGGAAGTGTGTACATATTCATGTAGACAAGCACAGGAAACCAACAAGAACAACAAGAAATCCAGGAAGCCTTCCAAACATGTAACCTTCTCAAAACTTTAAGGAGGGTTGCTTTGCAAAGTGACAACTATCAACAGTCAGATAGCTCTTTGAAGATGTCCTCCATTTATCCGAGAATACAAGTAGTATTCTCATGACACCACTAACAATGACTTTTTCCCCTTTTTAAAAAATATGAAGTCAGGGAACTATCAATGAAGACAAACAAGCTAACAGTAAACAGCCTAATCAAGGAACCATCAAGAACTTTCCCACTAATATTGACAGGGCAAGCCACTAGTATAAAAATAAGAGCAAACCCTTCTAGCACTGATGATGTTATCTAGTTTGGTAATAAAACTTCAAAAAAAACCACCAAGCTCAGAGAGCACCAACATACTCTTATGAATTGCCTCTGCATGTGCATCATTCCAAATGTACTTTATCTATGCAGCCCCTCCAGAAGGCTCGTTCCTTAACTAAGATTAATTGAGCCAATTAGTCAACCCAGTTTTCTAGTTTCACGTGTCATACAGACGAACCACGGGTAAATCACCCGTGATCTGGCTTACCACAAGGCTCAAGGTAAATTATGGAGAGTAGTTTAGCATTTGGTAAGTCAAGCAAAGGAGCCTCAAAGCATGCTTTGAAAAGAATGGAAGGGGCTTCAAATTGCTCACCCAAACAATTCACATCTACTTAGGTTACCTTGTTAACCTACCTCCCAATTAATTTTTAAATTATAATTATCGGTGAGTTTGTCTCTCTATAAATTAGCCTAAGTATTATTTATAGATGAGTTTATAAATTTGCAAGTATAAATGTTAAAGAACACTCATGACCTCCTTTTGGAAGAAGACAAACTTGGCATTCTGGTCAGCCCTCTCTCTTTTTGTCACACATATTAGGCAACATTTTGTGTTACTGAACTCGTAAATATTTTAGGAAGTGGTAGTGGGGGGTTCATTGTATGTGTCAAAAAAAGGCAGGGCTTTGAAAGCACAGTGACATCTGTCATTGTGATTTTTTTACACACATGTACTTTAGGAATATCCCTTTATTAAATGTTCATATTTGGAGGGGAGGCAATTTATTGTTTCCTCTTCTAAGAAAGTAGCTTATGCTATGTAATATATATCTGATACAGTGAAGAATATCTTGAAACTTGGGGGGGGGGTGTATTTCAATTTAGCTGTTTTAAAAAGAAAAACTATATAGATGATAGATAGATAGATAGATAGATAGATAGATAGATAGATAGATAGATAGATAGATAGATAGATAGATAGA